TGTGAAAACGAATAGCGAGTCTCATCGCTTTTGGAACGATCGCGTTGAAACCCGACATCAACATCGCCGCATTCGTTACCGCAAACGCAAGCCGTTGCGTTCAGTAGCCACCAGGCTTTACTTACACTTGCACTCATCACTTATGAGTTGGGATGGGGTTTAATCTAAACCACTCACACCACTTCAGAAGGGAATGAGAGTTATATTTTCAACCTGGCAAAAGTTGCCGACTTTATACGTATCAGAACGAAGGCCGAGATAATTCATAAAAATTTACAGGTTACGTGAATCAAGTTCAGATACAATTAAAAAAAAAAAAAAAAAATAGGAGTTTTTTATAAAAATGTACAAGGTTTTTTCTCCTTTTTTTTTTACGAACTTGGCGTCCAAGTAGACAGAACGGAACGATAGGAGTGTCTAATATTGAGGAAGAGATGAATAAAACTATGTAAAAAAGGATAATTCTCAGCAAAAATATCCATTAAATTTTGTTCAGATATTATTTCAAAATTTGGAATTCAAATCACAAAATCTATGAAAATCTGGAATTCGTTGTTCATTAAGGTAAGTGCCTAAAGAGCAACACTTTTTTTGTAGTAAGAAGGTTGAAATCCGATGCCTGGTTTCTCTACATCAAAACTCTTTCACTCGGGTGCTTCAACAAGCGACCACTCCCGTACATTTCTGTAGAGGCGAGAAGAGCGAAAGTGCCTTCAATTTTGAATACGCAATAAGCACATCCGTGGAACACGAATAGTTGCATCCAGGCGCCACAATCAACGCACCATCAGTGCAGTATTCGTAGGTCAAGCACCGATTTCTGAAGAGGCGAGAAAAGCGAGAGTGCCTTCAACTTTGAGCACGCAACACGCACATCCGTGGAACACGAATAGTTGCATCAAGGCGCCACAACTAACTCACGTCAGTGCAGTATTCGTAGGTTAAGACAATCATAGATTTGAATCAGTCATTCTGAAAAAGACTTAAGGGCCAGAAACTGTAGTAGGAGAAAACAGTAAAAAACTTCTTTATCGACCCGTTCTAATTTTCAGAGCTCTAGAATCTTAAAGCGATGAGTTCTCTAATTACATTATTCTAGAACACTAGTCGACACGGGAAAAATTGCCTTCAATGTATCATCTAATTCCTGGCAGATTTTTAGCGCTGATTCCGTAAATGGCCTTAAATTCTTTTTGGATCAGCTCGATTTCCCACGAAAAATCTGAATTTTTCCTAAAAATTGAGCTTTTCCAGAGAAAAGTCAGTTTTCTGGAAAAGTGCAGGGTATGGAAAAACTAAGGTCATTTTCAAATTCAGCGGCCAAAGTTCCACTGAACACTGTATATTGCATGCCTATTAAGGTTTCCTTTCTGTTCCTATGATCGAGGTTTTTCCAGACAAGTGCTCCTTTCCGCCTATGTAACACACACCATGTACTAAAAGCTGATTCGATTGTTTTGCGTCGGAAAGAAGGGGGACAACTTTTTTCTCACGTAACAAGTGGAGTAGTTCCCTTCCTATTTTTGCCGCTGCAGCCGAAAATGGCTTTCGTTTCCTTCCAAAATCTACCAAATTTTTGAGGATAAACCCGAGGTAATTTTCGGCTTCAGCGGCAAAAATCGAGTGAGAACTACGCCACTTGTTACCTGAGAAAAAAGTGTTTCCCCTCCAGTCCGTCGCAAAACACTCAAATGAGCTTTACATGGTGTTACATGTGCGGCAAGGAGAACTTATCTGGAAAAACCTCGATATTAGGAACAGAAAGAAAACTTGAATAGGCAATACTTACATGGTCCTCTGGAAGTTTTTGGCTGCTGAATCCAAAAATAACCTTGGTTTTCCTTCACCATGCACAAGATATCCGAAAAATTGACTTTTCTCCAGGGCCGGATTTACCTACTTGCCGCCCGTGGACCGCCTGTATTTTGCCGCCCCCTTCTCATTCGTTTTGAAACATCAATAAAAACCAGCAAATAAACGTGCCCGCGGGGGAGGGGTGCATAAGACGCGTTTACTTGTGTTGAACACATTTTTTGGGAAAGCCCTGTCAATACTACTAGCAAAAGTTCACGGAACTTTGTGCGAAAGTTAAGTCTCGTAAACCTATCTCTGTGTGGACAAGGCCTTCCATTCATAAGAAATGAACGAAAAAATTATGAAAGAACAAACATAAATGTGGATTAATGATTTTAACTTCCGCCGTCGTACCGCGCAGACCGCACCGTGTTTGGCGCAATGCGTGAAGTATTCCAGCAGTCTTGTAGGCGCTTTGAGTTTCACGCCGACCGCTGCTGAACGCACTGTGTTTGACGCAATGCGTGAAGTATTCACGCAGTTTTGTAGGCGCTATGCGTTTCACGCTAATCGCACTGTGTTTGCCGCAATGCGTGAAGTATTTGTGCAGTCATGTAGGGGCTAATATGTCTTACATGCCGATCGCCGCGCCGAGGGCTTCTCCTTTTCATCTCAAGCCCTCGTCATCGTTTCTCTCTAAGTCGCGCCGTTCCAGGCCAAATTGCGTGTTGGGTTTCTCTCTTGACTCGACTAATTAAAGGTGCTGTCTCTTGTATCACTGAAAGACTACAAAAGTAGTAATTACTTTACTCTCAGAAAATTAGGGTTTTGTCGTCTTTTCTCGTTTGTAATTTTTTTTTCTAAATTCGAATTTTCTATACGTACATTTAAAAAAATTTCAAAATTTGCCGCCCCCTATAGATGTGCCGCCATGGGCCGCGGCCCATGTGGCCACCCCCTTAATCCGGCCCTTTTTTTCACTAGGAAAGCTCGATTTTTGGGGAAAATTCCGATTTTTCCAGGGAAAATCGAGCTGACCCAGAAAGCAAAGGTCATTTTTGGATTCAGCACTAAAAAGCTACCCATGTCCTAGATAACACATTGAAGGCACATCTACCCAAAAAAAGAAAATAATAATAATAAAAAAAAATTGACCAGTGTAATCTATGATCAAAAATGGGTCGATCATTACAGTTTCTTACGATCTTCTCATGTTTTTATTTCTGGTGCCTAGGTCTTTTAAAGACTGACCGATTCAATTGTTGGCTGTAGATATTCAGGGCTCCTGTCGCTAACTGGTACAGTTACACTCTCTCTACTTAGGTACCCTGCTATTAGAGTGCTACAACTAACAAGTCCTGAGGATCTCTGAAGAAGTGAGAAAAGTGAGCGCCTTCAATTTTTGGATATGCAACATGCACGTCCGTGAGAGACGAGCCTTGCATCAAGGCGCTGCAGTCAACTCAGTCTAGTCTTTGTTAAGCGAAGATGCCTCCAATTTTTAAATGTGCAATATGCACACCCAAGATACGGAATATATGAGCAAAATTTAAAAAATCGTAAATTTATAATAAAAACCCTTGAGGAAAAGAAATAATGAGTTATAAAATTTATTAACGTGGGTACCTAACCTGTAAATTTTTTTGATACTTATAAGATATATATACGACAAATAATTCGTCAGAAGGCGGTTAGTAGGAACATTTGATGATTGGCCTACGGAACGCATTTAAAATTAACGACCAAGCCAAGGCCGTTAATGCAATTTTCAGACTTTAGACTAACCAGTCTGAGGACTAGCTGCCCAGTTTGAAGAATGGGTAAGAATATCGGTCAGTTGGCGGAATGGGCAACAGGGGTGACCTGTCCACTTACGGGACAAAAAGTTGCCCAGTCCGACCATTTTGCCGACAGGGTGTAAAATGAATACCAATTTAGACAAAATTCAATGTTTTTTCGGCAAAAAAAGATTAAAAAAATGAGACGAAAAAACAAGGACTATAAATTAGACCTGCTCATTTTCTGGTAGAAATACAGTATCCGTCACTTCTACTGTCTGACGAAGACACATCCGCTGACGGAGTATCTTGTGATTGTCACCAACTGAACTTTGATTTCATTATCCTAATCACAATGCCTTTGTTTGTGTACTTCCTATCAGATGTTCCGAATTTCTTTTTTCCTCTGCAATTCTGTGTGGGAGTGAAAGCTGTAGATTACTATTTGGCTTTTTTTTTCAGATAGGTAGGGTTCCATGGTAACAAATAGGAAGTATAAATTCAAAATTTCAGGCAGGAAATTCCTTGATTGTCATACCTAAAAGCAAGCCACAATAAGGTCCTCAGGTACACAGTGATTTGTCCCATATACGAAAATGGCAGGAGTGGGAAGATTATATTTTGCCTGACATACAGAAACTCTTTTGTTTTAATTAGTTATAAGTTCTTTCGCAGGAAGATCATCGATTGCAAAGGCTGAAGGGCTTTTAATTTACAGGCCCTGGCCCTTATTGTAACTAGAGTCTATGCCTGGTAGGTGTACGTACACACCTTGACTGAGGCAGATCATCTACCGCTTTCAGTTTGACAATGAAAGAAAATGAAAAAACAAGATGGTAGATTTTCTGCCTCTTTCATGGTGCAAAAGCTTCTTGCGCCTGGACTCTACCTGTGGTGCAAAAACAGGTGCCTGTCCCTAACCTGTTTCCCTTACATCAAAAACCTGCACATCTGCAGGACCTAACAATTTTCTTGCAGTATGTCCTTCTGATTCCATCAGCTATGGTGCATCAGAGAAAATTTATCCAGTTAGTTATCTTGTAACTTAGATAAGCTATAAGGGTTCCTCACCTACTTACTTGATCAGTTTTCTGCTATATGAGAGAATAAAGTAGGCATACAACCTTGTACTGATGAACCGCATCAAAATAGTGCATGATACACAAGATGGAAAATGCTCATCCTCCAAGGTTTATCTAGAGCTACGGGCGCCATAAGGACTAACACTAGATGCTAAGTTTCATGATACATTTCTCAGGGAGGATTTAACTACAGAATGAATTATGATTCGAAAACAGTTGTTGCAGTACCAAATGCGTACGATAATTACAATGTAGCAGCAAGGTTCTCCCAGTGGGGCTGTCCTTGAGATGAAGATGAAACTTAGATCTTTAAAACTAAAAATAATGGTTAGAGAAGAAAACTTACGGTATCGCTCTCAGCTTCAGTGGGGGTTTGTGCTGGAGCTTCAGTTGCCGTTTCACTTTTCCTACTCCTCAGTTCAGATGACATGACGATGAACTATGGGAGATACAACACTACTGAAATAGCACTTGGGCTGAGAATTTCCTGAAAAGGAGGATGAGTAATGGGAATCTACTACTATGGGAGAGAAAATATGGAATCACTCAATATGACAATCTGTATCACTGGTTAGGCATGGTGTGGCGAACGACGAGGTCCATTGTTTACAAACTTTATATAAATCGGATTCAATGATAAAATTTGAAACACACACGAGACTGGCTTCATAACGATACTCTAATCAGTGGACCCTAGACCGATGAGGAGGGGGTCACCGTAGATAGTTCAATAACAATGCGACGGAAATATTTCTTCAGGTATTTAACTGAACAAGTTTCAGAATTCACAAACTCACGAATGACAGAAACTGAAACGGCCAAAATGTAGGGCAACTCGACTCAATTTCTGCTGACAAATCCTGGGCATGGGCAATACTTCTCACCACTACATTTGCAAGGCAAACAGACTAACACAAACAACACAAACGAACACTAACACGATTGCGAAATTGATCACGGTTTACCTGCTGGATAAGAGCCTTTTTTGGTCATCTCTAAAAATGTTTACCTGGCAACAGTGTGCACGTCCTTATCAGTTTGTTCCCGTACCACTACAAGTTTCAAAATGCAATCGTTATCCAGTAGCAAAGAGTCTCAATTTTACAAACATGAAAATATGAATAAATATAACGGCGCGATAAATTTGCACGCATAATAATTTTTTCATCTATATTGAAGATATGGACGTATCAATATCCTCTTCTTTTTGATTAAGCACTTTGAGAAGGAAAGAGGCGTTGAAAAGGGGGGNTTTACCTGGCAACAGTGTGCACGTCCTTATCAGTTTGTTCCCGTACCACTACAAGTTTCAAAATGCAATCGTTATCCAGTAGCAAAGAGTCTCAATTTTACAAACATGAAAATATGAATAAATAGAACGGCGCGATAAATTTGTACGCATAATAATTTTTTCATCTATATTGAAGATATGGACGTATCAATATCCTCTTCTTTTTATATCTATCTTTCTTCGGCTATGCTAAAAAGTGCAATCTCATTTTCGTAGCTTTAGACCCCTGACTTTTGTAAAAGGTTGCAAGATTGTCGGGCTGTGCAAACAAATTTGCCAAAAATCACTAAATATCAAGTTATACGTTTTTATTGCAAGTACAACTTGACAACACGGATGATTCGTGTTTACGTCCAGTCTGAGCCTCATCCGTCAACTCAATGTGCTTTTATTACCATTAATATTTTTTAATTTTTCCGGTGAACTTTAAATAATACATCATGGTAAGTCAGAAGAAGAAATTCGCCTCTCTTTAATTCGTCAGATAAAATTCTATACCTTTCAAATACTTTACTTCTGATGTTGGAAATTGCCTACTGTCACCGTCCTAACCTCAAAAGTGCCGATTCATTTAGAAACTCGTAGATTTTTCGGAGCATAATCGTTCGGAGCAGTCCTCATCAGGTCTGTTCTGATCACGAGGACTCAACAGCACTATTGACATGCAACACACCAAATTAAAACGAGAAATTACCTAGTCTAACTCAGCTTTCTGATAGATGTGTTTCTCGGATGGTGAACAGTCCCTTAGCAGTGTAGACTCCTCTGACGGTGACCAACTAGCCCAATAGAATGGCTATGGTAATAGATCTAGCTTCACGTCTTGTTGCGGATGTCCCTGAAGAACTAGACTGCAGGTACTTTACGAAGAATGGTCGTATTATGATACTTGCCCTCTCAGTTGGCCCACTGGCACCAGGTACTTTAGAGGATCAGTCAAACGCACTTCGACGGCGTAAGTCGGCAATCACATAACTGGGTTTGGGACGTCGCAGACTTCCTATCATACTTTATTTTTTAAACGGAAAACTACTCAACGGCAATTCTTTAAAACTGTCATGATTTTTCTTCTCTATGCGAAGAAAAATCTGCAAAAACTTCAAGAAATAATGTCAATTTTGTCTCCTTTAAAATAATGATATGTAGGCGGAGATTTTCAGACACCGCAAACGAGTTATGTGATTGCCGACTTACACCGTCGACTCATTTGATAGTCTGGCAGTTCCATCTTGTTGTGCAAAAATTTAAATACATTCCTGCTCAACTGGGATTTTTGGGTCCTAACCAATACTTGTTTTTGAAAATAAGAGTATCAACGTTTAGGTACCTTGTGCCAAAATCAACTTGCTACTTTCTAAAAACAGTCCTCAAATATACTTGCGTTTTTTGTTTTCAAGTCTATGCAAACCTTGAAGTATTTTCGTCCAAATTTGGTCGTTTATAACATTTAGTATGGAAATTTTCAATCATGAAGTAATCATGTATTTTTATTCTGGCAGTTCCGTAATCAGTATGACAGCGACGTCACTGTTTGGAGTCCTCAAGGGCGATTACATCAAGTTGAGTATGCAATGGAGGCCGTCAAACTCGGATCAGCTACAATCGGTTTGAAAAATAAAACACATGCAGTATTAATCGCCTTGAAAAGGGCGACCTCTGAACTTTCTGCCCATCAGAAGAAAATCATTCCAATCGATGATCATATGGGAATTACAATTGCTGGTCTCACTGCTGATGCTAGAATGTTAAGGTAAGTTTCCAACTAGGGCTTTTACTTTTTGACTGAGGATGAAGAATTTAAGAAACTTTGTGACACAACAAATCGTTTCGAAAGCAAGAGGCACTTGTGGGCTCACATTTTCTTTTTCACTTTTGTAAATGAGAGTGTAAGCAGTAGAGTATTATAGTATTGTAAAAAGAACAGGAACATCAGACTATGTAATATTCCCAAGAAATAAACAAGGAAAAACTTTTTGAGTACCTATCACAGGAGAAGAGAAAAAATTTGAGGTACCAAAAATACTGCCTGCATATTTCTTATTTTTCAATTATCTTAATTTTGCCTACTGGTCCTAATAAATCCGCAGCGTACGTTTTTAAATTGTATTTTGATGGTTTTGATAGGTTTGCAACAAATTATAAGATTTGTTCAAATGTAAAGTTTGCACGTCAAATATTAATTGAGATATCATTCATTGAAAATGACAATGTATGGCATCATCTATCACACTAGTGCTTACCATGGTGTCTTCTATTATGGTTTTATCAATCAGTGACAAATGAATTTGCTTGGGTTACTAGACTGAAACTGGTTGCTAAGGATGAAACCAAGATTGAAAAAACTTGGGTCTGCACTATTGCACTGGATGATGTCATATGCTATTTTTTTCAACAGGTGCTAATTCTGTTAATATTGAATATACAAATTTAGTGGTCAGGCGGATCTCACTAATTTTTTCAAATCTGTAAGCTGAAAACATCAAACCTTAGCCTGCACTGGTCATCTGGGTTGTGAAAAAATCAATGATTGCTCGTAGTGTGCGTGTTTGCCAGTGCTACCTATAGATACCTAGTGATATTGAAACAACACAGTCCAACTCGGTGGGACATGACCATGCTCTGAAAATCTGCACTGTGCTACATCTGCCTCAGTTGGAATAAGACCTACCGTTGGTTATCAGTAGCCTGCTGAGCCTTGTGGAAAAAGGTGATGAAGTATCATGAGATTTAGCTCAGGAGCATGGTCAAACTCCGGGTTGCATGACGGTAGTTCCTGCTAGGTGCCTTTACCCCTTGAAGGTGCCTCGCCGGTCAGCGTGGCCTTTACTTACTTACTAAAACATCAAACCACTCTTTTGTGGCTAGTATAATTGACACTTTATCAGCACTAACACCAAAGTTCTTAACTTTTTTTTATTCTTTGCTGCCAGATTTACTAAGAGCTGATGACCTCCTTCAGAAAAGTTTAAGAACTCTGAAAGTGAAGAGAATAAGAAGTCATCATTAGCTGCTCCAGAAATTTGTCTGTACTTTTTGGATTATTTATCAATCTTTGATAATGTTGTTACTTTTCCTTTTCAGCCGTTTCATGAGAACGGAATGCTTGAACTATAAGTACACACACAGTGACCTACTGCCTGTCGGTCGATTAATTGCCAATGTAGGTAATAAAATGCAAGTTTGCACTCAACGGTATGATCGTAGACCATATGGTGTAGGACTTCTAGTCGCTGGATATGATGTAAGTTTTTCTTCATTTTCTTCCTTCTACATTTGCAACTGGCTAGAGTCTTAACTGAATAAGCCCACCAACTTTCAGAGTGGGGCGGAAAATCTGCTACACTGATCCTTGCCCTTATTTTCAATACTAAAATGAAGATAATAGATCTGCTATTTCCTCAAAGAGTTCATAAATTTATTTAGTGTTGATTTGATGATGTATCAGTTGTAGATCTTTTTCAATGATTATTGAATCTGTAAATAACCTTGGAAACGATTTTGCGAGGAACAATGTCATATATTAATTGAACTTCAAGCAAATAATCAAGACTATGCTTCGTAGCCCCAACTTGTGTTATTATTAGAAAAATCTCAGCGAAAGTGAAAAAGCAAGGCAGTAGTACTTTGAAACTGTGGTATTGCCTTTTCCGTGATCCATAAGAAATTTCGATCATCCTCTTCAAGTAGGAAAATGTCTTAAAAACCTCATTTATTTTCTGTTTTTAGGACTTAGGACCTCACATTTATCAAACATGTCCGTCATCCAACTATTTTGATTGTAAAGCAATGGCAATTGGAGCCAGGTCTCAATCCGCAAGAACTTACCTAGAGAAAACTCTCAACAGTTTTCCTGATTGTAGCTTAGAAGAATTGGTAAAGCACGGCCTAAGAGCCTTGAGGGACACACTACCCAATGAAGTTGAATTAAACACAAAGGTCAGTATTTTTTAAGTCTTGAAGTCACCTTATAGAATTAATGCTCTCATTTTAGGCGCCTCTGTTAACTATGGTTTTCAATGTTCAATAATTTGATTTTACATTAATTCTTTAAATTTTAACCAACAAAATGTATCTTTTTCTTAATTTTTTTGTGTGAGTGAAGAATTTCGGAAGAAACTTGTGCCTTTCTTTTCTTCATAAAGGTGTATCATAATGAGTCATTTAAATGTATCCTTTTCATTTCTTATTTTGCATCATTTGAGTGTAGATGCTATCAGTGTTCCATCGCAGGAAAGCTTGCTCATCCCGTTCTCATTATTGAATAAAAGTAAAGTTATAAACTCTCTGTAATATGGCCTTTGTTTTTTCTGTTGATCTCAGAATGTCTCAATTGCATTTGTGGGCAAAGCCACTCCATTCAAGATTCTAAATGAAGAAGAAACAGGTACTTACTTGACTTTAATTGAAGGCGATGAAAGACGAGGAGCTGGACCGTCCGATGAACCACCCAAAGATCCGCAGCCTAGCACAACCGAGAAGAAAGATCCCGTACCCGTAGTCTCCATGGAGACTGAGTGATCATTGTTAGGAAGGGTGATTACTATTAACCTCCTTTTCTTCCTCTGTAAAAACATCTGATTTTTATATTAATTAATTAATGTGTTTGATATTTCATTTTTGTAATAAATTATTTTACTATGTCACGTAGGTTTTGTCTATTGTAAGATATTGTTCCTCCAGTTAGTAAGTGGTATCTCAATGTTGGCAATATAGGTGACTGAGATACCTTCATTTGGAGAATTATGCTCTGTAAAAGAAGAACACGAGCCTGTATATAAAATGAAAGGATTTGGTACCATTTAAATTGTTTTTATTACACTTTTAAAATGGAGAAATTTAATTTGAATCAGTCTAACTTGATCAAACGTCGCCTAATTTTATTGTATGTTTTATTTTTTGACCGAAAACTAAGCAACATTAAGACATTAAATTTTGTAATCTAGGTTAATTCTCAGAAAATTAAAAGGCGTTAAGAAGATTAGTACTCTGTAATAAAAATAAAACTCAAGAGAAAATTAAGCAACATGAAATGCATTCAGATTAGTTGCGGTTAAATCTATCCAAATAATATTCTTAATCACCTCTCAAGCACAAGCTTTAAAAATAGAATTTTTTACTTTTTCTTTTTGAATTTTCTTCCATGCTAGATCTTTTCTTGAGTAAAAGTTCCCTCCCAAAAATTATCAAATGATTGAATATTGTAGGAATTGGACTACGTTTTGCAAAAAGGCACCACTATTTCTGTCGCATGTCCGGGAAAACACATGTACCATCAGTTCCCAATGCAGGCAGGTGCTTTTAAAATGGAGCAAAAGATAGCGATTCCTTATTTCATAAATTTAGTTGGGCTTGAGGTGTCTTAACGTAAAAACAGGGGTATTCAAATTTCAAAAAGAAACTTTTTATTTAAAAAACAAAAGACAAAGAGATAAAAAATGGTAAAAAATAATCAAAGATGCGAATGGTGCCAATTCTCCATGGAAAACCACCAGAGAAAAATATTGCACCTATCAAATTGAAATTCCTTTCATATCTATCCATTTCATAGGTAAGTGATACATGTCTTAAAAATATTGAAAACTTAAGTGCATGGGAAAAAGGTGCAAGCCTGCAAACTGAGATTTGGAAAAAGGGCTTCAAAAATTTGAGAGTTTGTTCTTAAATTTTGATCCGAATTGAGATTGTTTTTGAGGTGCAGGCTGTTAGGTTGGTTTCGTTGTCTAAGGTGCTACTATGAAACCGAACTCCTTTAAGATGTTTAATTTATTTTTTTTTTGTGCTGGAGTAAGAATTCATGTACACGAAAATAACCAAACTGAAGCTGATTGAAAATAGGAATGTTACTTCAGTGCATGTAATAGTTGGCAAAGAAATCTCAATTTGCAGCCTTAAAGCACCTTAAACTTACCACATGAGACGGAAGGGAAGACGAAACATAATCAAAGAGCTATAAGAAACAAGTTCCAGCAACTGAATAACACTTACTGCAGGGAACGAAAAAAGAATGAAACAACGCATAATAAGACTGGTTTAAGACTTAAAACTAAAATATACATCATTTTATCGTTTCACAAACTGAGATCAAAAGCTGGACAAACCTGTTGTCAAAATTGAATAAATATATAAGGGGAAAAATCACTCCTGATTTATTAGTAGTGAGATGAGTGATGAAAAGTCGAAATGATTCTCAAGTCATGCGAATTGATTGAGAAGTAGAATAGGTGGTACCAATGAATGTAAAAATCAAATTTCACTCACCAAATACACGATTATATTAGGTAAAATAGTACCTACTGAACATGATATTTAAGGTGATTCTTCAGCACTTCGGAGAACGATTTTATAGTTGATCATTTCCAGATTTTACAATATTTCTCAAGAACTTTCGAGGATCACAACACACTGTGGTATGTCAGGTATTTGTGCAATCAAGGGACACTTAGAAATATCTTCAAAAGTACGCCTCGGGAGAACAATGCAAATCAACAGGTAGAATGATTAGTGATGTTCACTCAGAATGTACTTTACAAGATATTTCAAAGTGTTCTTGGTCAAATTGTACGTGCAAATACCTGACATTCCACAACATGATGTGAAGCTTGGAAATTCCTGAGAAATGAAGTAAATTGAGAGAGATCCAGAAATTAACAATTGATCGCGCAACTACCTATCGAATCGCTCTACGAAGTGCTGAAGAACCACCATAAGAAAAATTAAGAACAAATGTTAGTTAAGTTTTAAAGTTACTGTGTTACTATGATTCACCTGAGTTAAAAAAGTTGGCTATTCACATTTGAGAACACCTGACGAACTAAATGATTTGAACCAAATCTTTCAGACAAATCCATTCCTCATCGACCACTTGGGTAAGAGGGGTTCTCGGAGGAAGCTGATAAATACAATATGGTATAGTTGCCCAGCAATTACGAGACATTACCTGCGGTACAAGGGAAACTGAAATGCTTAGGACTTTGTATGAGCACATACCTGATGAGAAAATGTCAAGTTCCTTTCCTGAAAAATATTTTAGCATTCTTTATGCCACAGGTATTAACGCCACGATAAGCTTGGCTGCCTTGAAATTGTATCATTTTCTCATTTTACGAAACAAAATATATTCAACGAAAATATTTAAGTAGATGAGAAAAATCCATTGAGAGTATTTGACATTTATCTGAAATCTCTGCTCCCACCTTTGACGCATTTAGCTTTTTAACTATTATTTGATTTTGTCTGCTTTCATAATGCTCCTTTTCTATCAATTAGGAAAGAAAAGAAAGAGCCATGCATTTTTGGACTAGGCACCTGCCGTGTCTATACTGAAGGGCCAAAAACTCAAATTTTTCAAAGTAACACCCCACTTTTTAGAGATGATTTAAGCATCCCTTGCGGAATCGGAAAAATAATTTGCTAAAATCTCCAGTCTTTTGAAATAGAATGCAAAAAATAACAAGAACATTTAACAAGCTAGAATTAAAATGGAGATTTGAACACTTTTCTTACAATAGCAAACAAGTAAAAATACCTAATTGTTGTCCATTTGTAGGGTAATTAATAAGTAAATCTTATGTCTTACTTCAAAACTTGAGAATGTCTGAATTCTGTTGATGTAAGAATCCAAACGATGTAGGAATGCTGAAAAGTTACAATAAATGCAAGACACAGGACCAGAGAAGTATTGAATACTTTTTGGAACACAAAATAAACAACCAAAAGCTACTTATGATGCATCAATATCTCATATCATTGAATTCTGATTTAAAGATCGCTTCTTGTGTATTAGTCAATCAAAAACATTGCTCCGAACACCAAATTTGTAGGTCACTGATTGATTGAGAACTACTGAACATCATAGTACATAACATCACCTGCCACATTAGGAATTGTTCCTTACCAAATCAGCAAGGCATATGAAAACTAATGCAGTCTTATAAATATGTGATGATAGGTGGGTGGAGGAAACCATGGGATGGAAAAATATCATTCATCCCCATACTTGCCAAGTTGGTGGCTAAAGTTAAAAAATGCGTGCCTCAGATTGCGACGCTTCAAGTTTTTGCTCAAGTTTCGATTTTTGGATACATTACCAGCAAAACCAATCGTTTACAGCAGGGTGCAGTCACTCATGTAGCTAGGCTCCTATGAAGCCAGCGGTCATAAATAATGCCCCATCTGAGATTTTTATACGATGCAATTGAGACTTGCATTTTTCACATTTAACCATTAATGCCTATTTCAATCAAACTAATATTCATGTGAGAATTTGGTATTCGGACAAATGTTCTTGATTTTTCCCATCTTTTCACACCAATCACCAAAGTATGATGCTGTAAAATGGAACTGACCTTCCGTTGCCATGAACTATGAGTATTACAAATAGTGACTTGGGCACCTGAACAATGTCGATTGAGAATTGATAGGATAATGAGCTGAGTATTCTCATACAGAATTTTTGTCTTACAAAATGAACAAAAAATTATGCAACAAAAGCATAATTTGAATAGCATACATTGGGTTCTAGACCAGAATGTTTTTTGTTTCACAAAATCCTTTCTATACTAAAACTGTTTTCCTCTGTTGTGTCAGGTCTCACTCATCGATGAATAATTCGTCTTGTAATTAATGGATTTACTACAGACAGTTTAGGCTGGTCAAAACGGTGAACTTCACTGTGCGAGTTTTCTTAAGTGCAAATGATTGCTACATAAATCCCTGGAATCCGGTATGAGACAGAGAAAAGGGTAAAACAGATGATAACTTTTGCTGCTATAATGAGGTATCTCATTGAGCTTCAAAAGGTTAGAGCAACCTCCAATTTCATGGTCCGAGAAAACTTAAACTCATGTTTTTTGGAAGGAAGGGTGTCCAACTTTAACATTGATGACACGTTTTCGAGAATCTAAATCATGGAATCTATTTGAGTCTTCCATAGGCACTCTTTCTGGTACTTGATACTCTTTTTTTGGCGATTTGTAATAAAGACGGCGTTTATCTACATAATTGACTAGACAGCTGGCAGGAATCCATATAAGGGCTGAGATGAGAACAACGGTGCCAACGATGTTATCTCGTAAAAATACGAGCAACTTGCTGATGTTGATATCTTCAATGATGTCCCAGAATCTTTCTACTACATCTTGAACTGTTTTTTCACAGACACCCTGAAAAACAAAGAAAAACAGGGTATAATTTAGATGAAATTCCAAATAAAAAACGCATTCACCTACTTAGCAGATATTTCTCAACAAAGACTGTCAAAGTTTCTAGCTCATCTTCAAAGAGCCTACCAGAATAAGTCAGAAATAAAATTTGGGAGCATCATCTTGGAAAATCCCTCTACGTTATCATGTTACTTGAATTACAGAGTTAGGAAAAATTAATGTTTGCTAAATTTAAATGTAACCAAAAACTGGGTTTTCTCCTAGAATGGCTAGGAGACTGGCTCCAGGCCAATTGCCATTTGCTTGTATGAAAAATATTAAACTTTGTCTAGCGCTGCGCGGGGGCGGTGGGATGCAGTACTGTTCACCGCGTTCAAAGCATTACATGGGTTCAAATGGAAGACAGGCTGCACACAACATTGCTGCGCCAGTTGGAGCGTGGAAACCAGTTGGGACCAGGAAAACATGGTTTAAGGTTACATCCACTGCTTGTGCACATTTGAAAGAGAGGATTGAGAATTTTTTAAGGATGTACCTTATTACAGAATCCTTGAATACAAGGCGTGCCGTCAGGCAAAATATCTGTGGGATCAACTGGAAAGCAAGTGTCATTTAATGTTTTGCGACAGCACCTTCTGCATGCATCAGCAACTGTGGACAGAAAATACGAAAAAATTAGCAAAAGTCTTCCTAAATTGTCAAGTTTATGGATAATTCAAGGAAATAATACACACTTCTACTACTTGATTCCTACAACTTCATCATGCTCTAGAGGTTGTAAAGAACATTGTATCAAATAATATGGATGTTTAGTAAATGCCACATTTTTTGGTATTGTAAGCATAGTCTTTCAACCTGTTTTACTTGACTTCAAATTACAAATTGTCAAAACATAAAATTGAAAGTACACAATTTCTGAGCATCTTTCTTGACTCATAAGTTTTTTGCAACATTGCCCTTTGTACAGAGATATCAAAGTCTCAATTTTTACTTCTGAATGATAATAGAACCTATAGAAAGTCACATTATATTACACAAAATACAAGCAAATTAAGATTGAAACAAGGAGATACTCACTAATATCACACATGCAACTTTGAAGGTTCAGCGTTTCACAGAATGGTATGCATTTGCCTGCACGGCATTGACCTTTCTCCAGGCATTTGGTGCCGTCAGCCATGAAAGGAGATCGAGGACACTCTGGAGAGTTACCGGTGCAACGTGATTCTTTTTCACAAGTGGCATGTTGCGCTTCCCTACATTTTGTGCTTTCAGGCATGAACTGGCAATGTTGACAGCAGGGAGAGTTTTTATCACTGTAAAAACATTAAAAAACAAAGATGAGATTTGGCTCGTTTCTCATTTGGTAAGATATGTTCGTTTAAAATTCAATACAAAATCTTTACCTCAATTTTAATGTCTGACACCTAGCTACTTCTGTTTTTAACAAAACAATCTGCTCAGGACGTTTGCTGCTCTCTCATTTGTTGAAAAATTCGCATAATTTGTTAAATACATAATGGATAATTATTTTCTTGGTCGCATGTACCACATATTGTGGTGATATAAATATCGTCACTTTCCGGCCAAAGTATCGCAGACATTTTTCAGCCAAGTTTTTCAGAACTATCAATTTATAATTTAATATGTACACAAAGAGCTATTACTCATTTTTGTGGAAAAAATTTGTTCAATTCTCTGAAAACTGAAATTGGCCTCTCTTGGAAGGTACAAACCTGCAAACAGCACCATCTGATCTTCGCAGTCGACATGATTTATCACAGCAAGCATCATTATCTTCAGATCCTAACAATCCGGCGTCACATTCTTCATCCCCTTCAACTCGTAGATTTCCACAAAATGATTCTTCGGGTATGGAAAAGCACTTATCGGACTTTGCTTGTAGAACTTTCCTGATGGATCTCAGACTGCACGGTGAGAATTTCTATAGAAAACAATGAAGAGAAGTAGTATTTAATGATAATTACTTTTCAAACTTTTATTTACTAACTTCAACTATTTATTCTGTTGTGTGATTGGATTACTTATCGTCTTATTTTTACATGGAATTTTACAAGAGAGTGCTGTAAAAGCGAAAAACTTACTGATCATCTGTTCCTCATTCAGAAAGCCGGAAACAACATTATACTACTCCATTATGAGAAAATAAGGGGGCTCCGTTATTCGTTACGAAAATTCTTCTTCAAAAAAAAAAAAAGAAATCATTTAGTGCTTTGAACTTCCTATGTTATTAACTGCGCTGCTTGTTTTAACGAAAATTTTATGGAAAACTATGTAGAAGTAAGCTTTTTTGATATAAGGGAATAAATGATAGGGAGTGGAGAAAATGATTTGCAGGTAGAGCCACACTTGGTAAGTTTCTACGCTGATCTGAGCATCCATTAGTCTTATTCATGCAACTGAAATGGAACTGCTAGCCTTTTTTCCTCTAAATAACAGCAACTATTTTGCCGTTTTTATAGACCCCTACTATGCCCTAAGTCATTAGTGAATTAGGAGTCTAACCTTGTTATTGACATCATAACCGCTGACACTGTAAGTGTACATGAGGAAAGAGCCACCTTGACTGGCACTTGGAGAACATTCTGGAATATCAGGATCATGTTCAGAGCCCCAGTTGTGACCAAATTCATGCGCAGTCACTAGATCAGCCTCACGTGTGATAACTCTTTGCCCATAGTGGTTGCGGCTGGAGCTTAGTCCTGAGTTTAAGTATAATGTGTAGCCATTCTTGAAATACTCTAAAAAGATAAAAGAAGAAATAAGAAAACCATTACTTTGCAGGTTCCAGTGAGAAATTGGAGATTCAAGTTACTTTTTTAGAGGTTTTCTTAACTCAATATGTGCAATTAATTTTCATTTTTTGCATTAATAGTCCTTTTTCATTAGAAAAAATGTAAAAATGCAAGAAGGGTATCAAGGAGAAATGACATTTTCGTGCTTTATAGTGTAACAAATTTAAGGTTAAAAAGTGAAATGGAGGTACAAGACAAAAATTGCTTTGCAAATTCATGAAATCCATTGAAAATAATTGAAATTTATTATTATTCCGTTCCCTATTAGTTGAGGATTTGCAGGAAAGCCGTGGTTTCATTCATCTAAAGTTTCAAGCAACTCAAGACTTCATGTTGCGTTCTTTTTCCATGCCAATATCAAGTTCCATTACATGCTGCTACTGTCCTTTAAATCAAATTTTCAAAGAAAGGAATGAAGAAGACAGAGTCTTGCTTAAGAAAAGAAGATAACTCTACCAGCCACCAATTTAGAGATTTGAGTAGGAGAGGGTAAAATTTCTACAGTCCACACAAATGAGTTTACGCACTTTTAGAAAACGACAGAAAATCAGCTGTCTTCAAAGTAAATGCAAGGATCAAGACGGCAGATCTTCTGTCGCACAGTAAAATTACATAAAATTTGGTGTGGACTCCAATTAACTGATAAATACACGAAACATTTTTCAAAGGTGGAAAAGCTGATGATGAAAATGACATAAAACTGGAATACTACTGCACGGATTTGAATGCAAATATTTTCTAGACACCACAAGTGAAAAAAATAAATAAATAAAAGGAAATTTTCATGTAAGAAGAAAATATCATGCAAAAACCTGCTTCAAGAGAGGGTTCTGAAGTTAAATGTAACACATGTAAAAAGCTATGTGATGCTTGCAATAGTTTTTCAAGAGACATACTTTCATTTATCAAAGCACTAAAAGCAAAGTTGTTAAAGAGAGAAAATACATAAAATAGAAAATTTTAAGAAAAGCTATGTTAGACCTTGTCAAAATCAAAGAGTATGACAAGAAATAAAAACACGAACTTCCGTTTTTTTCCGTTCCTACTTAATTCCAATGAGACGTTACGTTAAAAAAAACTTGAGATTGCAAATTGATTGAAATGCTCAAGAGATTTAGCTCTAAGTCATTTATGGTCTCGTTCTGGAAATAATAAAAGCAAATTGGCAGCGTATTTTCTATTCCTTTTTTGGGTTAAAAATAAGTTTGTGACCATCTCAAAACAACCCAGTTTTCTTACTTAATTCTTTGTCTTTGAACTTTTATAAGTTACAGCAACCTTTTCCAGGCTTAAGCTGTTATTTTGCTGCTATTTTTAGTCTGTTACTGCTCTCAATTCAGCAGCGGTTAGTAACTAAACCTTAACTGCATTGCAGCCCTCAATGTCTACTTTAAATTTTGTTATGGGTTCTTCTTCTCTTGGCAACGATGAATTCTATGACATGATAATTTTATCTTAATAATCCAACAGACAGGGAAAAAACTTCTAGCCATTGAATAATGTTGCATTTCTTTTTTTTTTAACTACCTGCGGGTGAAGAAAGTTTGATAATGCTGACTGCTTGTTGCAATCACGCACTTTATCTACAAGCAATTTTCTCATTTCCTCAAAATTTTATGAAAATTCTCGAACATCCAAATAATATCCGAAATTCCTGAGTTTTTAAAAAAATAGTTTATCACTTTTAAACATTTTTTCAAATTGCTTGCCATGCCACAAAATTAAAAGTCATGAGATCGGGAATTTACTATACTGCTCTTCTCAAATAAGTCTCTGGTGTATACTGTAACATTTCTTTTTTAATTCAAAAATAGGTTTTGATTGATGTGTCCTTTAAAGAAAATAAAATAGAAATAATATAAAAATGAGTGCACAGAATACATAAAGATTCCTGTTAAAGAGAGGAGCCCGGGTTTAACAGTTGAGGACAGACACTTAAAAGAGACGCACGCATTTAAAACAAACATAAAACGAAACAGAGTGACAAGAATTTTTCCTATGAATATATATTAATGAGGAAAATGTGATACTGAGACAAAACGTTATATTAAAAGGTTCTTGATGATACGGACGTAATACAACTAACGAAGAATGACGGACAACAGCAAGTTGCGAACATAAATGCATAATTTTTTTCTTCTTGAGCCTCTAACCTGGGGTGCAGATACCACCAACAGAATTACGACGTGGAGAGCCAACATAGGCTAGGCCAAGAATACCACCTTCAAATTTAAGATCAGTAAAGAGATGAGCCAGGCAGAAATCCTTGTGGCTATACTCTCGACTGAAGACCTACATCATCCAGACCGTCCAGAAAAATAATTTGGCAAGCATGGAACAAGTTTGATTACATTTGAAATTTGACATTTAAAACAACAAAAAAAGAATGACACAGGATTTGAGGTGTTTTTCTAATACATGGTTCAGAAAAAAATGGTAATCTCATCCTAGAAACGAATGTACTGCCCTTCACAGAGAAAGTTATATTTGCTAGTTCAGATGACTCTCTATGAGTCATAAACCAATATGCCGATTAAATAGTTGTTACTACAGTTATCGTGTCTAAATATTTCTTTTAGAAGTATGATAAATTTGGGTACAACATCGAAACTGAATTTTAAGGAAAGGAATTATTTACAGTAATTTCATACTGAGATAATTGAATACATCAGTAACGGAAAGAGAGTGCAAAGGCTGCAGCAATCAGCAGAAACTAAGGCTTGAAGTGTTCAAATTTTACTGTTTTTTTTTTTTTTTTTTTAAAAAAAACGTTTTTTTGGCCTATGCAGAAAGATGTTTCCGCACGTTTGGCGATGACCATTGAAAACAGAGAAAAAGAGGTTTGACGTAATTTCTTCTGTAGAACTAAGAAACGAAATTTTCAGTCCTACTTTAGAGATCAAATATTTTTTGTAGGCTTCAATTTTTTGGGAGGAAAAAGTAAGATACTAGCTTTAAATCACTTGTGACTCAAATTCGTTGACAAAGCTGACTTGGATTCTTTCTGCTGAGAGTTCATTTGCACACAGCCTAAACATGTAATAAGATGAAGCAAAAGAGATTTCCTGATGGGAAAAATTGTACACAGTTTGTAAAAAGAGCAAGAATCGCAACATACATTAAGCAATCAGAACAAAGAGGTAATTTTTGATGAAGGAAAACTTTTTTGCTGGATACTCAATGATTTAAGTGTAATTTTTATAGATTTGACTAGTATAAAGACGAAAATTTAAAAAAAGTATAAAGACGCAAAAATCCCACGACCAAAGAAAGTGACAGTAAAGATTGACATTTTTTTGGAAGATTCAACCACACCAATATATTCTATAATTTAGAAATTAGGGATGCCCGTCTATGTTTAACCTGAGGGTACTTGAAAAGAAGGTAATACTCTGTTCACCAATATTCTGAGTCATGCTAAATTCATATTTGAATCACCCTGGGTGCAAATCCCTCCAACTGAATAGGATCGTGAAGATGCAATGTAAGCTAATCCAAGGACAGTCGCATCTCTTGCAACAAATGTTTGATGGGTAAACAAGTGCCCCAAACAAAAAGTTTTTCCATCAATTAGGCTGGCAAATACCTAAAACATTCACCTTGTGAGTTTACAAATTCATTCTGACAGACAAGAAACATGTGTATCAATGAGGATGGATTAAATATAAATTAGAAAGAAAGAGAGGAGTTTAGTCACTGTAAACATTCAAGTCAAACATTCAATCCTTGTATAACAATTACTTGTTATACAGATGAAGAGAAAATCTTGATCCCACTGGAGACTAGAAGTTTAAACCAAACCAAATCAACAGGATTCTCTGTTTACGTTAAACAAAACAGAAAACAAACAGGTTGCAATCAAATAGTTTAACGTCAAAAAGATATCCTGGACGAGATTTTTGGGGCCCACCAGAGACTTAGGATTTCTTAACTAAGCAATAATGAACATTAAGCATAAATGAACATTAATTGGGTGATCTTGTAGGAAATGTAACACATATGAATTAATCAATTAATCAGCCTTGTTTAACGTATTCCCCATAAAGGCATTTCTCCGCCAAAGTGACGGTGGAATGCACGCAGTCAGACCCCAGAACCTCACAGCTCCTCAAGTAATTTTTAAACTATAGTTGAAAATCAATTGACAGTCATAGCTAGAACTAGAAAAATATTTCTGAGACGTTTTTTGTTGAGCTATGAGATGGGCGAATGGGTGTACGAATCTACAGTTGGCTGATCATCTGTCAGATGCTAGCGCATAATGATGTCCCAAAATTGAGAACGCTATCTGGTGCCAGCAACTAACACTGTCACCGATGAGGTAAAAACACTATTAGAACATAAGCTAAGCAATTAGACCAATCGACAGTAATTGGGCACAACAATTATTCACTTATTTTTTTTTTGATGAGATCTTAAAAAGTTTGTAACACTCCTCTATGCTCTGGTATTAAAACATTCATTTTGAATTTTAGTTGACAAAGGTCCACTTTCCCATGGATGGTCGTATTTTAATATGAAATAGTGAATTCAAACTTTTAAACATTTTGAAAACTATGCGGATAATTATGGAGAAACAAACCTCTAATAAGTTGCGGACATCCCACTTCTCTCGCACCATGTTGTAGTGTGCCTCTCCACCACGTACTCTTGTTGGCTCACTGTGAACAACTATTTTCTTAATTACAAATCCCATTCCTTTGAAGCCCTCTTGATCTTGACGGTCTTGCCAGATGGTATCGTTATAAATTTTGTGTACCCGGTCTATTAAGCTTATCTGAAAAAAAAAACCGAAAAGTTTTAGTCATGTACAATTATTTGAACGCACAAGCAGTACTGTCTTTACATGCTGGCTCCATGCAGAGGAGATTTGTAGCTGTGCACAGAAAACAGGACTGCGGCCATAGTACATAGATGCAAATGAAGCAATGATTGACACAGTGCGTCGAAAAATCGGAATCTGAGTTTTTAGCATCCAATACTCTCTAGTATCCCAAAGCGCAAGATAAATTCGGTTCAATTCATTCTGAAGTCTAAAGGCCCGCGTTACTTAGCCTGACATTTTTGAGCTCGAAACATGGCAGATTGAAATTTTACAAAAACTTTGATCACACTATCAATATTTTGTCAGTACCAATAAAAACACACTAAAATACAAAAAACAAATGGGTTTACAAGGCTAGAGACATACAACAACCAGGACGTTTCGGGCCAATTACATGCCCATTCTCAACTGGAACAGAAGCTAAAAAATGTAAAAATTAAAACGAGAAAATGAGCATGCAACTGACCGAGGTAGGAATCAGTGCAAACTGAAAAACAGAGCAAATTGTTTTTTGTATTTTAGTGTGTTTTTATTGTTGTCTGCATTCGAGCTATTGTGTCTCTCGCTCTCTTATCACTTTGTCAGTATCTTAACATCAAGCATTCTTTATGAATACAAGGGCCAATAAGACCATTATATCGAATGATCACTCCATCAATAATCAGCAGGCCACTAGAAATCAACAGAGATGGCCAGGTCGTGACATAATTTTCTGTTTTATACATACTGCAAGACCTTCAGATATTGACGAAAATATGGATAGTACAACTTTTTTTTTTTTTTAAACTACTTCAAATACTACACAAGTGGAAATCCTTGCGCTTCCAGTTAGAGCCCCTCCCCCTCCGTCCCTACCATGTACCAGCCCAAGGCAACCGTTGTTTAAGACCATCAAACTTGGGTCGCCTAGCCGGGAATCGAACCCGGGACCTCCTGATTGTAGAGCCAGCGCTACAACCACTACACCACAGGAGGCCAACAAACTTTGGCTATAGCTTTTTTTCAAACTAAATATTTTGAACTTTTATCCTCAAATTGTCATAACTCCAACCAGTTTGGACACTTTTTACTGTTTTGTACACTAGAGGGTTTGTCGATCACTGAAAATTGCAGTAATACTGATACCTCCATTTTGAGTGTTCCAAAACTGTGGCTCATCTAATCACATTCAGAGGGAGAAAAAATACTGTCGATGAGGCAACAGAAATACTTACTAAAAAATGTGATAGTAAATAATGAAAATTACTTACAAGGTAATTTATTGTAGTTTTAATGTTACTGCCACCCATTTCTTGGAAAAATCTATAATCTGCTACCAAAAGCAGTGGACAACGGGTTTTAGCTGGCATGTATTCGTACTGAGTCAAATGCCTTTTGGCTCGGACTCTTGGTCCATCATTTTCATAAAAATTACTATCTTCATCCAACTCTAGATCATCTTCATCTGTTTCTAGCTCTGAAAAATAATAAATACATTAGATCATTGCTATGTGGTGACCATAAACAGCCTCTTGAAATAGTACATGGCGCTGGTTGAGGCATCATGGTTTTGATGAAGGCACAGTTAATATCTCTAATTCATAGACACAAGGTGTCTAACAAAATTTTATTTTTCCTCTCCCTAACTTTCCCAATGAGGTTTCAAATGCCAAAAAAACTGAAACTAGCAGTATAAGCGTTCAGAGTAATGGCTCAGTACCTGCTGAAGCGTAATTTTTGCTGCTTCATATTACAAGTTGAATGGGGCAACGGCAAATAATTTTTGCAGGGTTTTACTATAGTTATTTAAAAGTATATGAAACTTAATGAAAAAACCAAAAAGTTCATTTAAGAGCTCAAAAAGGCATTTCTAAGGAGGAAAAAGCTTAACAAAGTCAAACCAATTGAAAGCCATCAGTCAAGCTGATGTAGCAAGACGATGCCTCAAGCTAAGTTTAGTCAATTGGCACACACAGTTTCTCCTGCTTGGCTAAGTCATCAGAGCCTGCCCGGAATATTGTTTTGAACAGGTCCCATTTTTGAGATAGGTTTCCTTTGCCATTTAGGGTTAAAAAGACCCAAAAGGCTTAGTTCACTACATACTTTCAGAGAATGAATTTCAAAAAAATGAATCCTGCTGGCACATTAATTAATATATTATTTTCTTCTCAAAAATTCTCTGAAATTCTTCAATCTACGAGTGGACAATGTGTTGACAAACACTCAAAGGAAGTGATTCACCTACCAGTTCCTTCCTTTATAAAACTGCATGGCTTTCTTTCTGTTCCACTATTTTCACCTCGACTCAGATCCACATCTGATGCTCTGTAGGTTATCATTGTTTGATTGTCTAGATGAGGTAGGTGACGCCATGATGGCTAAAATAGAGGAAAAGAACCATTATGCTACACGAGGGAAAGAATTTGAAAAAAATACAAGCAGAAAACACCAACACAATTTATTTAAACAATTGCTTGTCTAATCTATGTATGTATTCATTAAACTTGGCATCTATTATGAGGAATGGGAAAGAGCACAAGGGGAAAGGGACTTTTGACTGATCTACAACGGTTCAAAAGAAACTTGGATTCTTTCAGAATTTTTTGGCGATCATAAGTATAATAAATTGCCATGTTTAAATGCTAAAATAGCAAGTTTCACATGAAATGTTGTCGTTTTTATTCGTTGAGGGTGATCTTTGCCCTACTCAGGAAAAAATAACATTATATGAGAGCTTAAAAATCAGCAGGCTTGTAGCAAACAGAGAATTCTTCCCCATCTCAACATTAATGATTTACAGGCTTCTAAAATTGCTCATCCTTTTGAAAACTGGCTATTTTTAATGATTTCAATTCCCCTTTTTGAATAATTTGAACGAATGGTCAAACAATTTAAATTAATGGCCTTGTGCTAGGTTTAACACAGAGAATGGGTCACAGAGAGAGTCATACCAAGAAGTCTCTGTTTTGACCTGATTTGGCATGAACTGACATGAAAAGATTCAATGGAACACAACGGTAATGTCATGTAATGGATCGTCAATGGTACAGGATCAAGGAATTTTTGCAGGGTCGTAGTATGATAGTTTTTCTTACACAAAATTTTGTGGGAAAAAAACCAAAAAGTTCAAGGAAGCATTTCTACAGGGAGGAAAAGCTGATCAAAAGCAGAGAGTCAAGTTGATGTAACAAAGTGAAGCCTGGAGCTGCGTTCAGCCAAACATCAAGCTCAGTTCCCTCCACCTGAATACATCATCAAAGCCTGCGAAAAGTATCATTTCAAACGGACCCTGTTTTTAGCAAAAAAATTTAGGATGAGAATAATCTGAAAATATTCTTAAAGGCTTAGTTAGTTTCATCCATACCATTTCATGAAAATGAATTAAAAATAGGTACCACTGACCCATTCAAGATACAAAATTCAAAAAAACTAGAGTGGCGAGAAAGTAAAAAAACCAACCTCTATATGATAGGTTTCATCAGGCAAATGAATAGAGGCTGTCATGAGCCCATCTTCCAAGTGTACACTTGCATGTGATGATGTTTCTCCAAATAGCCTTCCAGAATAGAAATTCTCATGGTCTGTGAAAAAAATACAAAAAATAAGTCAACCATAAAATAATGGTAAATCAAAAAGTATTTATATCATTAGAGTATGTTGCGTAAGAAATCATAATTCAAATAATTGTCATAAAAGTCGCGAAGATTACACAGATTATCTGACCATCTATTTGTTAACTACTTTACATGAGGTCATTAATTATACCTGTAGTTCTGAAACATGATGTATGTTTCTCACAATTTAGCATTGTAAATACTGCCAATGTGTGAGCTTGCTTGACACCATGAGAGCTACAAGAGGCAAACTCAGTTACGACATACTTGCTCACATTGGACCGTAATTACTTTTTTGCCCTTGTTTAGTTCTATGATTCTTGTACGCCAACAGTAATATTTTCATCATCTTATGGTACAGCTTAATAAAAAATCAACGCACGACTTCTTGATGTCAATTTTTCTTATAAAAAAATGTTTAATACCAATATTTTTAAATTTTTCACCCAGTATATCTATTTGGCTTTTTTTAAGTACTATGTATACTTAGATACATCATTGTCCTTGAAAATTATTCAGAGGTTGCGATGTTAAAAAAAATAAAATGAATAATGAAAAAGAAGAGAGGCACTAACCGACAGGAACGGGAGTTTCTTTCCCTTCGCTATCAACACTAATTGCTTCAAATTTTGAATGCAAAACATCCCTTTTGGGAGTAAGAATCAAGCGAAAATCCCTGAAACACAAACATACAACCAAAAATTAAACACTCTTTTTTCAAATCATATCTATTACATTGTACATTGATAGAAAGTTTTACTTACTCCTCAAATTATTAAGTCATCATTGAAATGAATGACAAGCAAAAAAAAAGATAATGTGAGGAGTATTTTGCTACGGAGATCAATGAACACATTTATCAGCACTTAAAAATATTAAGCGGCCAAGAGGAATATGTTTACATTGGGTATTTTTTAGATACATTCCAGAGCTATTTTCAATACTTTTAGATATAGAACTGTAATCAAATTATATGCATACATACTTACTCTTAATTCATGCACATAGAGAGCATCATATCGACGGTGTAAGTCGGCAATCACATAACTCGATTTGCGCATCGCCGACTTTCTGTCATGCTTTTTTGTTTAAACGGAAAATTACTCAACGGCAATTCTTTAAAACTGCCGTGATTTTTCTTCTCTGTGCAAACAAAATTCTGCAAAATCTTTAAGGAGTGATGTCAATCTCTTCTCCTTTAAACAAATAACATAGAGGCAGAGATTTTCAGACACTGCAAACGAGTTATGTGATTGCCGACTTACACCGTCGATATGCTATTAGGTATTCAGTGGTTCTAATGTTAACAGAAACAAATAAATAAATAAATTTTTCATTTATACTTAAAATCCTTAAGGGGCTGTGGTGCAAGTCAGCACAAACCTCTCTTTTCCGGTCAAAAAAGTTACGATAAGCTTTTGAAAGTCCAAAAATCATGTTTTCGCTTCATTTTACTTCCTAACCACATACTAACAAAGTAAATTTTACTGGATCTTGCAAAAGCCTTTAAATAACAATACAAACTGCAAGCTAATAGTTACAATTGTGTCATACTCATTTTTGTAACAACAAAAGTAAAATCAATGTCTATCTATCTATTCTCCTGTGGTTGCCATTTCAGTCTGCAGCTAAGAATTTTTTGTTCCATGTTTCTAGCCTCAAGAGTTTTTATTAAGAATAACTAAACAAAATTATCGCCTAAATTCAAGAGTGTTACAATACCAACTCAGGCCAGCTTCTAAGAGAATAAAGACATTTAAATACTCACCTTCCAAGAGTTCTGAATTTCACTTCCTTGATTTTATTAAATGGATGAGAACTTTCTTTCAGCCCTCTTTTGACGATATGATGAGATAATTCAGAGATATGGAGGGTGTTATAGTGTTTAACATACTTGTGAATGAGGCCTGAAACAAAAATAATTTACACTCGCATATTTTTCTAATCCAAAAAAAAAGAGATGTGTGTAAATTTGTAGGTAAACACACAAGTGATAAAATAACACAATTGCTTTAAACAAAATCTACTTCATGGTGATAACATTAACTCATGATGTTCAGCATTCTGATTGGCATTTTAAAAATGTTTATTCATTTAATTATGGAAGGGATTCATAATGTAGCTCAAAATTTCTTTTGGATTTGCTCACTTTTATCGGTTAATTTCTCTCAATTCGCATATCCAAACAACGTATAGTCTCTTGAACCCTTGTAAAACAACATTTCATCCACATCCTTACTGTCATTATACTTTAGTTTCATTTTCCTGACCATCCTTTTATCCATGATCCCTAAAATCTCCTTGTCCTTTAAATCTATCAACCCCTTTCTTACTATGCTTCAGGATAAGGATATTACGCATGAGCTTACAATTAGAAGAGATGGAGAAAGTTGTTATGGTTCACGCAGTAAAATAACTAAGTAAGTTACCTGAGTCAGGGTATAGCAAAATTATAGATGGAAAATATGGAGTTAAACAGAGCATTTACTGGGAAAAAGTGGGATACCTTGATCTTCAAATTCTCACTTGAGGGAAGTAGTAAAATTTTTAATCGAGAATTCAGTTAGATTTTTGTGTTAAATGATCGTTGAAATAAAAGCTGGAATGATGAGGTAGAAATTTTCCAGGGGCTGGTTTCAGATTACTTTTTCTCTTTTATTGAAAGGATCTCACGCTCACAGCAGAAGAGGAAAAGTAATCGGAAACAGGCTCTGTCCTTCCCTCTGATAGTTTTGCTTCCTCATGGAGAATGAGCACTAAGATTGTAAAAACACAAAGGCGTAGGAATGTGATAGCTCAACAATTCTTTAGATATGTAATGTTATTCAGCCGATTTTTTAGGGTATGTAGGTAAATAGTACACGATTACTGAAAAGTTAGAGTGAACGGTAAGAGGGAGAACAGATTGTGTTCGTCAATTGTTGTCTTTAAACCATTACCCATCCTTATCTTGGATTATTTTGTTTCAGAAGTGAAAAATCAATATGGGTAATTGATAAGCATTAAAATTAAAAATCATTATAAGTATGAGAGTGCGGCTTTCCTCCACCCCATGAATGGCCTTCATCCTAAACAATGGCCAGTCATCGCAACAGAGAGATGGAAACATTTCTACTGATCTTTCTGTGCTCAATGTATTAAATGATCAGTTCAATTCCTTTAAACTAACTGATAGAATCATGCCATTGATTTTAAAATAAAAGAACTTGCACGCCTGGCTGAATGTAAAATTGTAATGAGAAAAAGAACCATACCTTCAACGTTGACAGCAAACAAGAACAGTAAAATTTTAAAGAGTTGGATGAGAAGCATTATCACAGACAAAAAATGCACATTATATTTAAATTTTAGTGAATAGACCAAGTTCGTAGACTCTAAACTATCTGGATCGATCAAGAGGGATTGGCATAGTTATCTTTTTCTAGTTGGAGAAGTGAATGATTCACAAATTAACACTTGACAAACACTTATAAACTTGTAACATGAGTGCAGGCCTTTTAACCAAGACACTGATTTTGTTCTCTTAAAACATGGTAGTATTTGAATACGCTAATAGTTCGAAATGGAAAGAAATTGACACAATTTAACGGTTTTCTTAGCTCTTTTCGATGAGTATTTACTATTTTCTATTTCCATTATCACCTGATATGACTTAACCTCAAGAAAATCCATAGAGGAGGCAGCAAGAGGGTTGATAGCAAGCTGCAAGTAACTATGGGAGGTCAGTCGTCTCTGATTGGCCTGTTCTTCCCGCCTCCTAAGCATATCCGAGTCGGTACTCTCACACTATTCTTTTCACCCTATTTTCACCACACGCTACAAGTACTGGGATTGGCTGATTACAATGCGGATGTACCCCTTTTTTTTTAGTAACATTTTCAAAATAACCCGCGAAAATTTCAATGTTCCCTTCTCGAGGGAGGAAACGAAACTATCATTTTGTTTAGTTACTTAAGTTTACGGCAAATATTGAGCAAATAATTTTCGGAAGTGTTAATAATTTAAAGTTGCTTGCCAAATAATTTAACGTCTCTTCACAATGTAAGGCACATCAGAGCCTCACCTGCATCATACGGTGTAAAATGAAAGTATTTGATTTGGCAAGACTCTATTCAGGCAAAAACTTTCAGAAACTCTCGCTAAAGTTCAATAGGCTTACTAATTTTTCGAGTGGTTCTGCGTGCACTAACGCGTCTTCTCTTTCTTTGGCCCCATAGCCCCATTACGCACGATGTAGATGCGAAATGTAGGGTTGCATTGAATGCGTAAGCGTCACGAGAACATTACGCACATGCAGGCCACTAATTAAGTATGATGTTGCCCTAAATGATGCATTATGCACAAAATTACTGACGTTTCAAGTGTTGGAAAAAGTATGCCGTCGAAAAAACTGAGAACAGTAGTGAGATTTTCCACTATTCGTTTAATTACATGATTTTCTTGGGGTAAATGGGAATAGTCTCCCATAGAAGACGTGTCAATCAAATTTGTTGAAAATTGCAAAATTTTACGCAGCTCTACGGCTCCATTTGTTTCGAGGGATCTTACTTCCAGTTCCAGAGCTGAATTATTCTTTGAATTCATGATTTGTTTAAGAAAGGTGTAAGTGCTTGAAAGAAAAATCCGATGGTGTTTCGAAAAGCGCATAGTACGAAGCCACGAAGCTTGGGACTTGGGACCTAGAGCGGAAGCGGTGGTAGAGGGCGCGCGAACGCCATTTTGATTTGCTGCGAAGGTGGTTAGTGCGAAAGCGGTCAGTTTTCCCCTAATTTGTCGAATTTGAACTTTTTCCCATGACGGAGAATTCACGCGGCTATTCTAGTCTCTTCAACAATCTTCTGTACGCATTTATGTTTCACTAATGCTAGTTTAATCCGTGTATAGCATGGTGCTCTCTGAAAGAAATTCAGACTCCATAAGAAATGGCAAAAGGTCTCGAGGACCTAGCCCCAATGGTCGTGCATCAGACTCTAGCAGTGAGGAAGAGGGTAAGTTTTCATTTCAAATATATTTTCACAGAAGGCGGACAAACAGTTTTGAAATAATGCCCGCCTCCTCAACGATTTGTCCACTTCGCCCATGTTTGAATTTCCTGCCTGATCCAAATTGACAGTAGCCAATCACCTAATACCTGGTTCTCGCAGACTTGTATAACTGCCCCACAATCTTCAAACCTCCCAGAACTTAGATTCTTTTATGTTCTTGGAAAAAAAGTTTTTGCCTCTTTCATTACTAAGCACTAATGATTCTAAATACTTTTTTGCAGCGGAAAAAATTCGCGTTGGGCGCGATTATCAAGCTGTCGTTCCGGAGTGCACTCCAGCAGCCGGTTCGTATCAAAATTTTTATATTCTTAACTATTCAATCAGCTGCACTAATTACTGCATTTATCAGCTTAAGTCTCTGACTCTAATTTATGAACTTTTAAACTCCTGCAAGAAGTTTTCTCTTTTTAAATGTTGTTTAGTTGAACTGGGGAAAGAGAAGAATGGACGAATGGCACATTCCAAAATTGCACCATTCATCAGAAATTTACATGCTGACCAATGGGCCAACTGATGATTGATGCATCCAGGTTGATGTGATATTTGTGCATTCTTTTCTTTCCCCAGTTCTACTTACCTGACTGAGGTATTGATATTTCTCTGTTTATTGACAGTTCAGCTTGTAGATCTCTTATCAGATTAGTTGGCTGTTATTCGGGGCGTTTGAGTTTAGCAGAGATTCCTTCTTGGCTTAGAAGGTTAGGAATGACAAAAATCCTGCCGCAGATCATCAGTAAGCAAGAGCGTTTCACCGATGCGTCTCTACTCTCAGCTCTAGTGGAGAAAGAAAGAACTTTATTTGCCTTATGTACTGGCAAATTCGCCATCTTAATAGTAATACCAATCGGCGTAGCTCAGCGGTAAGGCACTCGCCCTTTGACCTGAGCGTTCACGGTTCGCGCCCTCGCGGTGAAAATATTTTAACGCCTTGATCATATTTATAAATGCCGCGTAGGGCATCGCAGGATTATTTTTTCCAAAAAATCTGAGTGAGGATTGCATTTTGATTGAAACGTAATCGAAAAGGGCTCCTCTTGCTTCAGAGAAACTTCTGAACCCAAGGTCCAGGGCAGAGTTAAGAAATTTCATAAGGAAATTTCAAGAAATTTTATGAGGAAATTTCAAGAAATTTTATGAGGAAATTTCATGAAATTTCTTGTGAAATTTCAAGAATTTCATACGATGAAATTCCTTTAGCAACTCTGGTCCAGGGTCCCTGTATGAGGGTATACAGTAGTATACAGGGGCCGTCCAATAAACTTGTTTTTTCTTGGAGGAAAAAGCAGACTCCAGACAGGAATTAATGTAGCATAGTGTTCAGTTAACATCCTTTAGTATAAATTACGTAAGACCTTTTCCCCATTTTTTAACCCCCATACTTCTCCTTGTGCAGCACCGTAAGGCATCCCTTAACCCCCCCCCCAAATTACGTAAGTCTCGACTAACCCCCCCCCCCTTTTTCAGTTATCGTAGATCGAAGCATGACGTTTCCCTTTAGAACACAATGAAATTTTTAAGCCACAATTTTTTTATGTGAAACCAAATTTCTGGAGTAAGTTCACAGGCAAGATTCATGATATAATTAGTTTAATAAACAAAAATATGGAGCAAAATTGAAGATTCTTTTGGCCTTGGGAGTAAATAGTTAAAAGTATAAAGTTGACGTGAGGATGAAGTCACTACTCATCATCGTGAGAATGAGTGGAGAAGTGGGAATCAAGAGAAATGATAGGGCATGGTTCGATCGGCCAGCAATCGGTGGTTTCCTGATTTCCTCTATTTCATCTTGAATTTTATTATCAACCTGACGAAATATGGATTTTTGCATTTTCTTGAAATATAGGCTAAAAAGTTGACGTAAGGCTCAGCCGTACCCTCTCCTCCCCCCTCGTAAGGCAACGAAAGGCTGTTATAGACCCCCCCCCCCCCCCTGAGAGCCTTAAGTAATTTATGAACGGCCCCTTATTTAAATTTTTGGTATTCCTTATGGTCTTTATTACTTAAAATTCCTAATCATATAGATAATAGAAGAGAAATCATGCAGATTTTCCTTTAAAAAAAAAGAGCGTTTAATTTGGTTTGAATTTAAAAGATTCCTGCTTGGCCCGAAAGGCGAGGGTTGACAAAAATCCTGCGGCGCGTGGGGAGTGCAGTGAGTCTGCAGAAAGGAAACATCGATGCTCCCGATTGCGCACCAGACAGTTTGCGATGGAAATTCGGCAGGATTTTTGTCATCCCTGCCTTCCGAGCTCAAGGAAGGAATCTCTGCTGAACAGTCGACTCGTTATTCGGATGGCCCTATGCCGAAAGGAACCAAGCCACATCAGCTATTGCCAAATCTAATAGGGTAATTCAAATTTCTGTGCGAATTTCAGTAAATTTTATGCATCGTAAGAAGCAAATTCCTTTAAATTTTCAAAGAAATCTGTGCAAACGTTCTCTTAATTTTTAATCTCAAGAATTAAATTGCCCACTTAAATTTGACAATGGTGGATGTGGCTTGGTCCCTTTCTGCTATTACATGACCATGCCATTAACTCTTGATTGGTAGGAAACGATAGTATGTATCAAGTGGTCCAGTTACACGATCAAATTGAGCCATCGAATTGAAGCTCTGATTAGTGGAAAAAGACCTGAGGTGAGGATGCGACCAATGAGAGGCCCAATTTGATGGCTCAATTTGATCGTGTAACTGGACTTTATGGAAAAGAGTGGTGTCATCTGCAGCCAATTCTTGATAGATATTAAACAGTGTTACTACTGTTAGTTCTAGACAGATGCAACTGCCAAAATATTTGATGTGAGCCTTAGGTGCCAGTACAAAGTATTTACGTATGATCAAAGCAAATCAAAGTGTTCAGAGTTGAGCTTTCTTGATCTGTAGAATATTTCTTGTAAATTCAAATTAAAATAAGTGGAACATTTGGAAAAAGCTGTCCTGTATTCTTGTTTTGGAGACTTTATTTTCTAACCATTGCTTCTATCCCTTGCGTTCCTTAGTACAAATTAATCTACAATTGATAAAGCTAAAATAATTGTTAAACAAGGCTAAAAAGTACACTTCGGTGAAGACTAAAATTGCCAAAAATCAGATAACTCAAACTTTCCTTATGTATTTATTATTAGAGTCAAAAGCTGAAAAGTGTTAAAATGCTAATTTACTAGTCAAAGCTAGTAATGACAGAGGGTCTTCGACAAAACCCTGAAAAATTTTTTTCGGGTTTTCACGTAAAATTTTGGTCAGAACTAGTTTGCATTGGTCAAACTTGAAGGTTGATTTTTTGACGGATTTTTACGTCAATAGCCGAAAAGCGGTAAAACTGTAGTCGAAATTAGTCAAATTATTAATCAAAACATTAATCAAAACCTCAACAATGCCTTAAGTACCTTAACTTTCAATCCAGTAGGTCCAGCTCTCTAGCAGAAGAGACAAAGAATTACGAAATGAGCGTTTACGCACGATAACTTGGAGTCAAATCCCTAGTATTACGATTTATGAGTGCGACCTTCCTCTCCCGTACACTTGCAATTTTTTACGTTTTCATGTTTCGGAGGGTTCCGCTCCCTCCCTCTTCAGCTGAATTTATAACGTGTCTGCTGCGGGCATCATTTTGCATTAGGATGCATTTACCAATTATGATTGAGTTATTATCAGGCACTTCTAAAATTGGAGCACGTTGAGAATTCTACTGTGAAAAAGAAAACGTTTGATCGGGTAGAATGGTTGGTGTTTTGGAAATCTCTTCACTCCTGGGTTTAGGAAGTTCTTAAAAGCAAAAATTAGTCACAATCCCACCTTTAAAATGTCTGAAATGGTTGGTGCATCTTCACATATTTTTTTTATTTCAAAGGTAAATAAGCTTGCAAACAGTCAAGGTCCATCAATTTCTTGCCGAATTTGGCAAGTGGCAAACTTGCTGCCTGAGTTAGGTATCATTGACTGTTTAATAGAAAACTATTCATTCTACTCAATTTTTTAAAATGATAATTTTTTTCACTGAGTTTTTGCGATTAATGCGCGATTTTTACACTGAGGCAATCCGTCAGGTCCATTTTCAGAACCATTTTAATGTTTGTACGGAATCAAGCATGACTTCCTGAATATTTGTCTTGTGACCAGGTCAAAAATCTGATTGCAACCTTTTCTTTTCTCTTGCAGAAAGAGAAAGAAGACTCGAACAGTGTTCAGATCGAGCCCTTCTAGTTTGGGCTCCTAGCAGTAATATTTGTGATAACAAACGTAAGTGTGAATCCTTTCACTTTTAGTGATCACTTTTCCCTCACTTCTACAAATTTTTCCTGAAAACTATTTTCAATTATGTCTTCTTAACTAGGTATTTGCCTTATCTTTAATTGTCAAGGAATTTCACCAAAATGTGTCCGGGAAATCAGGGAAATGTCAGGAAATTTCATTTTCCAAATTCTGTGGCAATCCTGATAGTTTTGGTCAAAACCTGAACCATGTATGATGGGTATGTTCCTAAGTTTTTGGATCACTTCAGAATTCTTTCAAGTGTGACTTAGCAATTTACCTACTTAATCTAAAATATCTGAAAATTTCAATGAAAAATATCTCTTAACTTCCCTCAGAAATTCATGTTTTATCCGGTGAAATTTGGCTATTCTCGGATGTTTTTACAGTGCTCTTTATGTTATTTTTCTATTACTGTATTTTTTGTATTCTCTGTACTGGATTTTCCTAGTCATCAAAATCAATCTTTCTCTGTTTTTTAGTGGATGAATATATATCATTAGCAAAAGAAAAGTACGGTTATAATGGAGAGCAAGCTCTGGGTATGCTGTTTTGGCACAAGCATGATCTCGAAAGAGCGATTGCAGATTTGGCTAATTTTACTCCGTTCCCTGATGAATGGACTGTAGAAGATAAGGTTCTGTTTGAACAGGCTTTCCAATTTCATGGGAAAAGTTTTCATAGAATTCGTCAAATGGTAAGCTGTCATATCGCATATTATATATCAGATATTATCATATTAGATATCATGCATTGCGCATCTTCATGCAGTTCAACCCTGGAAAAAGTGATGAACTTGATTCAATTCCTTTAATATGTTAGTTTGTAAAATCAAACAAGCGTAAATCATTCGTGCAAAATATCGGGAAGTTTCATTTAAAATATTAAGAAAAATCAGGAAAACACCAGGGAAATATCAAATAATATGTTATTAGACACGCTGGACAGCACATTGTCCATATTTTCAAAACCATAGAGAATATCTATCATCGTAACCTCATTGATGAAGACTTAATTTGTATAACTCAATGACTGTTCTTATTTAACGTTTAATTTTGTTTTTTTCTTCCTTCTCTTATCAACGCAGTTACCTGATAAGTCAATAGCTACTCTCGTAAAGTATTACTATTCATGGAAGAAAACTCGTAGTCGGATAAGTTTACTGGATAGACAAGCAAGGAAGTTAGCTGCGATGAGAAGTGGAGAAGATTATTCTGCTGCCCAGTATAGTGATGTATGCTCTGATGTCGGATCAAATTCAGATTCAGAATCGGATGAAAAGGTAATTTTCTCTCCTTCTTTTATTGCTTTTATGATTCAGATTCTTTCTTTTGCCCATCCTTGTATAGGCATTTTTCCAAAAATTACTGCATCAAACTTCATTAAATTTCTAAGTCAGAGAGAAAGGGCAAGGTGAAAATTACTGGACTTCTGAGAGACATTACACTCTCTAAGATGCAGCAACAAATTTCAAGAGAGTTAAAAGAACTTGCTAATTCCTTCTCCTAATTTGTGGCAGCACTTCATCGTGCAAAAATATGTAGTGGAGACGAAATCTTAGGAATCAAATTTTCCCAACCTCCGAAATGCAGTATTTTCCAAGTTATTTTATCTATCTCAAAAGTTGTTCTCTATTTTACTCCCTCTTCGAATTAATTACACCATTTCGGAATGCCAATTTTTCCAATCTATGTAGCTAGCACTTAGAATACTTCTAAAGCATGCTTGTAGGTGTATAGTTCGACTGCAGCGATGAAGGTTACAAGAAAAATGGAAGACAAAAAATTAAGGTTTTAACTCACAAAAGAAGTCCGCTTGCAAGTGAATTAAACCTTAATTTTTGACTTTATGTTCTTGTGCAAACTCTATCCTCATGTTTGAGAAAATTCCATGTAACAGATTAAAATCATGTCCGATTCTGATTCCCTTTCTCGAATCCAAAATTGGGTGTCAAAATGCATCACATGATTGATGCATGTAAGAGATGCAGCCAACTAAGTATACTATTCATGGGACAAAAACCAGGTTAAATACATCAGGAAAAATATCATCCTAATTGCACACTTTATCTTGTCTGTGTGCATGTCCAATTTGTATACACACAGACTCAAAAACCTCTGCAAATCTAATATGTACGAACATAAAATTAAAACAATAATTAACTTCATACCTTGTGAAAATATTGTTCAGTTTTGAATATTATGTTTATGCCTTTACAAATTTCCTGCACTCACTGGCACTTTTTTCTTAGGTGTTATCAATCAGGTTTGCCCAGAGAGACCAGAGACAGAACTCAAGTTAACAAACATTCAGTCCTACTATCAAGTCTTTCTCACCTTTGATTTTAATTGTTCTGAAATATTTTTATGTCGCTATCTAGAGGGAAAAGCAAATGCAAATACTTTCAGAATAATTAAAGTCCTAAGTGATACAGATCGATTACAGTTTGCAATATTTTTTGTTTATTTAATTGTGCTGTCTTGTATCTAAGGATGTATTTGTCTCCCCTGGGTAAATCTGGTCGCCGCAACCAAAGAAAGTTGCTAGTATAAGTGAGAAACCTGAGAATTGTTTTTATTTTTGGGAAAGTGATTGTTATAATTTTCTATGTAAATTTCAATTTTTACACCCTGTTCAAGACTTCTCACAGCTTTTGCAAAGGTTTTCTAAACCGTACAATCAAATATTTTGATTAAGTTCTACCAGTATGGAAGTTCCTTTTATTTCTTTTTCTTTTCTTTTTTTTTTGCATAAAAGTATTGATTGAGTTGAAAGAAATAAAGAGCTGTAGAAAAATTAAGCGCAGCAGAAGATTCAAGAAAGTAATGTGTTCTGTTAATTTAAAGATTCGAAGAAATTTTAGAAAACTTCATCGTAAATTGAAAAAGGAGGGGGGGGGGAGAGAGAGAGAAAACTCAACAATGTAATAAAAAAAAATGCCTCAAAGGCCCAAGGGTATCCTCAGTTCATCATACCTTAATATTACTTATGAAATTGAAGGGTGTTCCGTGAATAAAATCATGGAACATCTTTATGGCTTGCATAGGGATTGGCCTCTGATTAGCCATATCAGAGAATATTATGCTTTAGAAGAAACAAGAAGAATTTTTCATTTTGCAGAAGAATAATACACAATTACAAATCTCACTCTATTATTATCAGACAAAACGAAACGTTAATAGTCATGGCTTGTGAGTAACGAGAAACTAAAATGATGTTTTAGCAGCAGTGTGTAAATTTTCAGTTTTTATTGCTTACTTAATTTTTTATTACTGTGTGTATGGAGCAATTTGATATTGAAACTATAAAACCGTATACCGTGATTAAAGACATCATGGATTTCAGTTAACACTCTATTTTTTTGGAGGTTGGCTGTTCATTGTTATTGCATAATATTTGGTCTAATTTTCTCTACCTTTTTGAATATTCTCTGAGAATATCACTCAAAAATAGTAACGACTTGATTTCAAAGAAGTTTACCTGTTTCATTCGCTCGCGCAACTGGTAGTTAAGGTATCTTTGCACAAGCAGATGGGAAAGCTAAACTTACCCAACAAAGATACAAGTTATTTTTTTTACAATAACTAAAGTAGGAGCCAAAATTTTGAAACAACAGATTGGGGTGGCAAATTCTACAGTTTCATTATCAAGTAGCCTAGCCGTTATGTTAATAGACAACTACCTTTTGGCCAGTAATATCATAAGAGCAATGGAACTGCTAATGTCAAGAAATCAGTATTTTTTTTATATTTTCTATCTGGAAATGGATGGTTTTAACGAAAATCAGTTTAACTGCAATTTACGCTGCCTAATTTCCTCTCCAAATAAATTTTTTAATGGTTAAGCAAACGACAAAACTCCTTATAACTTTCTAATTTCCTCTGTAGGTATTTTAAAAAAAATTGCAAAATTTTGAGTCAGAATGTTGATTATTTTTCTGTCAAAAAAAGAATATTTCATAAAATCAGGTAATGTCTGATATTGTTTGGCCGATTTCCGTCAAATCCGTCCAAGTGAACTTGAAAACCAAACTGTTTACTTTTCAAATTAAACTCAGAAAAATGCGGTACAAAAGCTGCACTGTATCTCACTGTACTATCAATTTTGGAAATGAGTCATCATGCGAAGTGATGTGTATGTTTCGCCAGTAACCTCCACTATACTGGAATTCTTTTTTTTTCAAGTTTCAAGTTTTCAAGCATTTCTAATTTTCCATCAATTGGTTTAGTTATTTTCTTCAGTAATACTAAATTATTTTCCGTAATTGTGTTTATATTTTTTATTAAATCTATCTCATTTATGAATAGTTCACTCTCACCTTTCATGGTGATCTGCCTTTACAAACCAATTTGAATTGTGTCGAATAAAATAAAAAGCTGAAGGAATGTTGAGTGCAGCAGAAGATTCAAGAAAGCAATATGTTCTGTTAGTTAAACGAATCATAGAAACTTCAGAGAAACAAAATGGAGGACTGAACTAGTTTAGATATATTTTACAATGTCAGAATTTCCCAGGACACTGACTTACTAGCGACAGGGTTAAAGATGCCTTGTATCCAAAGAGGAAGGAAATGAGTATTAAATCAGGCTCTAAATAGCCTAACATGTAGGTTGATTTTAATGCCTAATTTGTCCTATGTTGACTATGGTTTTTTCGCGAGTTGGAAGTTTGAATTTATTGTTAATAGTAGAAACTAAACTCATGAAATTCTTACTAATGTTCTGTAAGAATTCTGAGTTGTTTAACGTGTTCTGAGTGAAATTTCAAAGAGGAAACATGTGGTGTAGTGCCTAACTTCTTAGCCTGTCTAGTAATGCTGCCACTTAATGCCAAAGTCGCTAGATCATGTCATAAAAAGTGGATTTTTTTTATGGGTTTTAATGAAGAAATTTGCTGATTTTAACAATGTGCATCATAGGAGAATGAAAGAGGCAAGCAAAGAGCATTCAATCCAAACCAATATGTAAAAACCAAGTTGTTGGTGACCTTGTATAGGGCTTGTTTCAAACTAAACTTTGCCAATATAATATGTTGACTGTAAGAGAGGATTTTCAGATGCGACATCATTCAAACTTTTCTTGGGCCTCACATTTACTGAAATAAAATGTTCAACCTTTAGATGCAGTTTTTTTAAGATTATAAAAATACTCTCTCCCTCTTTCATGGAACAGAAGTTCCGATTTTGATTCCTACATTTTGTCGTTTTTTGTTTCATCTTTTCTTAATTTTGGGTCAAGAATTGAAACTCAGAGAAGGAAACCATATTCCCTCTCCCCTCCTAATAATATCTAAATATGTAGTAAATATGTACAATACCAGGCATTTAAACCTATTCTGCAGCATTTCTGAAGCTATCACATCCTTGGGTTTGCCCAATACCTTTTTGTACCAATGTTTTTTTTTTTGTAATTCTGTTTTCTCTCTATTGGGCATCTCTCATTTATAATTGATTCCATTTTTTTTTTTCTTCTTCTTTTTTTTTCTTTTTTTTTTTTTTTTTTTTTTTTTTTTTTTTTTTTTTTTCTTCTAACCACCAAATAAGTTCGTATCGATGAACTTTTTGATAATTCACTCCCTCAGTAAGAGGCTCAGGGACTTCACGACACTTCACAGGTTAAAATATTTGAAAGAAAGAAATATAAGTTAAAAATTTAAAACCACTCACTAGCATAAAATTAATTAAATTAAAATTAATTTTATGGAAGTGTGTGATCTTAAAGTTTTTACTTTTTTCCCCTTAAAATGTTGACAAATGCCCTCACTGTTCTTTAAAGTTTGTAAATTAATATTGCCTGTGAAGGTGTCAAACAATTTAAATTAATGTTTAATGGAGTTTTTGTTATTGCCCCTCAATATGAATCAAATTAAATTTTGTTACAGGACGATGATGAGCTACCAATATCTGGGAAGACCCGAGAGCACAGGGACTATTTAGTTATAAAAAGATAATAATCGATTATGATATTCTTACCATGCTTGGTATTAGTTATTATGATTAAGTTTCTTAATCTCCTCATTCATAGAAGGCTGATGCTTGACTTTTGAAATTGACCTGTTTCTCTAGGAGTCTTCCTAGATGGTCTCAAATGTCATGTCTCGACATACTCTTTCTATTTCCGTACATCCATGTCTTTCAAAATTTTTTTCATCATCTAAGTCCTACCTTAAGACTGTCTATGTTCGAAGGGCTTGTTCTCTTTGCCTAACTGAAAAACCAGCTGAAGTATAAAATGATTATTGTATAATGCTTAAATTATTCCAGGTTACCTGTATTCAGCTTTG